TTTATAAGAATACCAAGTTATAACATTGCATACCATGAACAATTGTCCATAAATCCAAAAGTTTTACACATCGAACAAAAGACTGCACATCATTGTAAGGGGGAAATGAATCTGATTTTATTCCAACTTTGTGTGAAAAACGAAAACTCGGGTAGCTCGGGAATATGTAAATGTACGATTAAACGAAAGCAACGCCTTGAAATGTGAAATACTCTTATTCAGGCCCGTCGGAACCGGGGGGCTGGGGGCTGGAGTCCCCCAATAATTGTCAAACTGTAGTATGTTTCCTTTATAACAGTGTACTAAATGAGAAGGGAAACAATGGGCAGCCCCCCCCCCCAATATGAATTTCACTCCGTCGGCGCTGTTATTGGCCATGCAAACCTGACGTGGTTGTTTTAGCATAGATGGCTAGCACAGCAATTTCTATTCTTTAGTAGAATCGGGGTATATTTGATGCACACTGCAAACCTTATAACTTTAGTAAGCCCACATCATTAAAAAGCCACCAAAGCATAAGTAGTCCTAATATGTTTAAATAGCAAGACATTAGAACCGTCGATCGCGACACAGAATTCAACCGCGATCTCCCCATGCTGTGATCCTGGCGAGTGATTTTGCTTGTCTACAATTGGCACTGCGCATATCGACAAATCATGTCTGTCGCGTGACAGATCATGCGTGTACCTCTAATGGCACTCATTTGCTGTCTAGGTGATCAGAAACTTTGCCAAGTCATTGCTGCTACAAGTGCTCAAAAGTGAAATTAGGTGCATTGTCGCCACTTTTCTCTTTCAGAGCAGAAACGCTTTCCGGAATACAAAATTTTTAAAACTTTTTAAAATCAAGATCACGACTTCTGATGCATATTACAGCCGGCAATTACAAGCATACAAAAAAAGCCATTCCTACTTCTAGAGCACAGAAGGCAAAGAAACATTTTGCTGACAAACCATTTCTGTCTTTGACATCTTTAATGTCTAAACACTTAATGTCTTAAATATATAAAGACTATTTACGCTTTGATGGCTTGTTAATGATGTGGGCTTACTAAAGATATAAGGTTTGCTGTGTGCATCAAAGATACCCCCATCCTACTATAGAATAGTAATTGCTGTGCTAGCTAACTATGCTAAAACAACCACGTCAGGTTCGCACGGCTAATAAGAGTATTTTGAGTGTGAGTAAACGTTGCAAGCAGTAGTGTAGAGCTAAAAAAAGGGAGATGGGGCCATAAAGCTTTCTCAATATTGTATACAAAATGAACGTTTCAGTTGTTTTCGTTTGCATGGCTCCTCGATATCAATTTCTTTACCTTTCCACTTTTTCTAGGGTTAGAAAATTTTCAAATGTTTTCAAAATTTTCAGGAAAATTTTTTGCACGATGCAGGTTGTTTGGTCATTTTAGTTCCCAGGCATGCCTTAGGTTCTGAGTCCTGGGTTATGAGTCCTTGGTCTCCTCTTCCGTCACTTGAAAAATGGCACTCCATTCTTGGCAAACATTGGCTGTCTGGGTCATCAGAAACCTTGCCAAGTCATTATGTACTGCAAATCTTCAATAGAAGATTCAAATTAGACGAACTGTCTCGGGACACCGCTTTATGGGTGTCACGATAAGATTCCAAAGAAATTTCCTTTCTGCTCTTTTTCAGATGCATTAGTTTCTTTTTATTTAAAAGGAGCCCGCTTTTAGAAAGATTTAGTGGTATTTTTCAGAGTAGAAACATTTTATGGAATAGTAAACCTTTTTCAAATCCAGATCAGGACTTTTGACACAATGGTTCAATCTGAAATGATAAAAATACTGGTACCGCGGAAGGGGGCCGTTCTTAAAACCATACAAAATCGCCTTGTTCTTGATTATGAGCATGCTTAGCGCCCCCTCACTCTTTAATATGCTCCGCGGTTCACGAAAAACATACCAAAGGGAGTGCAGCCATTCCTGCTTCTAGAGCATAGAAACGTTCTAATGTCTTGCTATTTAAACATATTAAGACTACTTATGCTTTGGTGGATTTTTTATGATGTGGGCTTACTAAAGGTTTGCAGTGTGCATCAAATATACCCCGATCCTACTAAAGAATAGCAATTGCTGTGCTAGCCGTCTATGCTAAAACAACCACGTCAGGTTTGCATGGCCAATAAGAGCATTTCAAATTTCAAGGCGTTGCTTTCGTTTAATCGTACATTTACATATTCCCGAGCTACCCGAGTTTTCGTTTTTCACACAAAGTCAGAAATAAAATCAGATTCTTTTCCCCCCTAAAATGATGTGCAGTCTTTTGGATTTTGGATTTTATGGAAAATTGTTCATGGTATGCAATGTTATAACTTGGTATTCTTATAAAGGAAACTGCGAGTGCATCGTCGAAAACATATATGGTCCTGGTCCAGGGTCCTCGTCCTCGGTCCTTGTCCTGGGTCCTGGTCCTCGGTCCTGGTCCTCGGTCCTGGTCCTCGGTCCTGGTCCTCGGTCCTGGTCCTCGGTCCTGGTCCTCGGTCCTGGTCCTCGGTCCTGGTCCTCGGTCCTGGTCCTCGGTCCTGGGTCCTGCCTTAAGGTCCTGGGTCCTTGTTTTCCGGTATGCCTTATGTCGCTCGAATTCGTCAAGAGATTGTCAAAGGATATTTGCACGCAAGGGCTTATTGTAATTTGCGAAATTTCGCCGAAATTTCGTACGAAATTTCGTTACATGAAATCCACCTTTTATACCTGAAATCGAAGCACAAACCAATTGAAAGTGATATATAAACCTTACATTCCTTGTCCACCATCATAAGAACGCATATTTATTGCATTAAAGCGACATGTTTCTTCTCAGTCTCCAGCGGTAGAAGCCATGATTTCCGAGCCCGTCCCAAAGAAGACGGGGGTTTAGTACATAGTATCTGGTTAGCGAGACACAACGTCAATGCCGCTGTGACTGCAACAGAGGAGACAAAGTGTAATGAACAATTAGGCTGTCATTTGCGAATGCAACCTTTCAATCGTTCCAAAATTATCAACAAAGTATTTACGAGAGGTCTGTCCAAAATAAATTTTTGCAGTGGAAAACAGCTTAAGTCATATTGTATGCTTATTTTAGTTAGAATTAGGATCCAAAAGATTACCATGATCCACGGGAGAATCAAATATAGCAAAATCCTCGCTTTAAACTGCGTTTTAAAAAATTAGTAATTTGCAAAATTTCGCAAAATACAGTTTTTTTACAACTACTCAAATGGGGCCGTATCAACGTAAATCACGTCGGTAGGGTATGATGTGTCTAC